CGGCGTCCGGGCGCGTCGGGCCGGCGGCTCCGGTCTGTGGCATCGGGACAGAGCACGTGGGAGCAGGGCCACGACCGTGCACCCCGCACAGTACCGCCCCCCACTCCCCACTGCAGGCACCGCTGGGCAGGGGACAGAGCCCGGGTGCCGATGCTGGCAGGGCCCAGCCGGTCCAGGCCACGCTTCCTCTGTGGGCACAGCCCCAGCCTGGCACGGAGCTGCAGTGAGGGCAGAGCTGATGTGCACGTGTGCGTGTGCACGTATGTGTGATTGTGTGTGTGAGTGCAAGCATTTGTGTGCATGAACATAGGTGTGAGTGTATGTATTTGTGTCTGTGAGTATGTGCGAGTGTGTGTATTTGTGTGTGTGTGTGAACATTTGTGTGTAAGCATGTGCACATGAGCATGTGTGTGTGTGTGAGCACCTACTGCAGTCCACAGGAGGAGCAGGTGTAGCTTTGCATGCGTGTGTGCACTGCCTCTCAGTGGTGTGTCTAAGCGTGCATGCACACATGTGATCACTGCACCCTGGTGCATGGTCTCACTGCTCTATTGTGGTGTGGGGATCGCATGGACAAAACCATTGCGCCTTCCTGGGGTGACTGCCTGTGGCTTGTGTGTGCGCACATGCACATGTGGGTCTGAGTCATGTGTGTGGGTGGGCACATGTGTGTGCATATGTGTCTGTTTCAATGTGTGTCCATGCATCGGGGGGTGCGCACCCCGTGGACATGTGTGTATGCAAATTCATGGGTGTGTAATCAACTGATCCCTGCCCCTGCGTGCTGGGCATGTGCACACATGCCTGCTTTCAGTGCAATGTGGACACGTGTGTGCGAGCCCTACCCCATGCCAGGCTATGTGCACTTGCATGTGCGGGCACTGGGGGATCTGCACAGCAGTGGGACACGGCACTGCCCCATGGAGGGGCTGGAGACACAGTGCGGCCGGTGCCCTTCACCGGCACAGAGCCCCCAAGACCCTGGGGCATGGCCCTGCATACTCAGAGACCCCCAGGTGGCACGTGGTGGCAGGGGGCACCCAGTGCCCCTCAGTTCTCACGGCAGCCCCCAGACTATCGCCCCACACTGCTGTCACACACGCAGCCCCTCTGGTGCCCCATAAGCCCCCAC